ATCCAATTTGAACTGAGCTGTTTTGCCAACTCTTTCTCCTGGGGGCTGCTTAGCTCCAGCAACTGCTTCCTGTTGGGGGCCCTAAGGAGCCCCGGTGAGCAGGTGAGGAGTGGCTAGGAGGGGCAAGTAAAGACTGGCGAGGCGCCCCTTGATGTGAGTGACATCGAGTTGGCCACACCCACCCAGTCACATGACCATCTAGCCACGCCCACCCAACCGGCCATTAGGCAGATCATATTAGTGGTCTGCGGGATTTAAAATTGTGAATTTAGGAGTTCCCCGAAAGGTTGGTGAGCCCTGCTCTAGAAGACCTCCAAGGTCCCTTCCAACTCGGTTATTCTGCTGCGCTGTTCATTGTGACTGTGAGTTGAGGACTGAATTGTTTTTCAGCATGTAGGTGACCTTGGGAACATCTTGGCCACTGCTGACGGCAGAGCATCCTTTCAGATGGAAGATCATCAGCTGAAGGTGAGTCGCTCCGGAGCAAAGAAGCCGTCCAGCAAATGGGTGGAATGAAAGAACTCACTGGGGCAACTGATCAGGTCGGGTGGGTTTTCAGCAGCGGGTTATATTTTTTTTCTCCCTCTTTTTGCCCAAGCTGGAAGCTGTTCATTCTCATAGTTTCCAGACCAGTTTATGCATGAAACGTGGCTGGGTGACTTTGGACCAATCAGCAGGAGACTGTGAGTTGTAACCCCTCCAAAGAATAGGGATAAGTATAGGGATTGGATAGGATGGAATTATAGAAAAGAATAGAATAGAATGTCTAGAAAAATAAAATAGAAGAGGAGAGAATATAAAATATAGACAGTAGAGTAGAATAGAATAGGGGTCATAATAAAAATAGGATAGAATATAAATAGAACAATAGAATTATGGAACAGAACAGAATCAGAATAGAATAGAATTATAAAATAGAATAGAATGTCTATAAAAATAAAATAGAAGAGGAGAGAATATAAAATATAGACAGTAGAGTAGAATAGAATAGGAGAATAAAAATAGGATATGATATAAATAGAACAGAATAATAGAATTATGGAATAGAATAGAATTAGAACAGAATACAATAGAATTATAAAATAGAATAGAATGTCTATAAATATAAAATAGAAGAGAATATAAAATATAGCGAAGAGAATCGAATAGAATTACAACAGAATAGAATTATAGAATAGAATGTCTATAAAAATAAAATAGAAGAGAATATAAAATATATCAAATAGAATAGAATTACAACAGAATAGAATAGAATTATAGAATAGAATGTCTATAAAAATAGAAGAGAATATAAAATATAGCGAAGAGAATAGAATAGAATAGAATTATAGAATAGAATGTCTATAAAAATAGAAGAGAATATAAAATATAGCGAAGAGAATAGAATTAGAACAGAATAGAATAGAATTAGAATAGAATTATAGAATAGAATGTCTATAAAAATAAAATAGAATAGAATATAAAATATAGCGAAGAGAATAGAATAGAATTACAACAGAATAGAATAGAATGATAGAATAGAATGTCTATAAAAATAAAATAGAAGAGAATATAAAATATTGCGAATAGAATAGAATAGAATGTCTATAAAAATAAAATAGAAGAGAATATAAAATATTGCGAATAGAATAGAATAGAATAGAATGTCTATAAAAATAAAATAG